ATGCTCACATATTTTGGTGGTGTGGTCGCCATGTTGGATCATTTATGGCAAAATTTGCATGTTTTGAGGCAATCTCTTTTCCATAATTCTTTGTGCTTTACGTAACGCGCATCTAACTGTGCGGAGTTTGGTTTTGGAGTAGTCCAAAACGAGTTTTATGACAAGTTGGCGCTTTGCGACAATATGAGTCGGCAAGTTCTGGACAGAAAACCGATCTGTGGAGACTCGTCGTCGGAGATTTTTTTTTTTTTGAGAACAGGCGAAAACTAATGCGCACGCGGATGTCATCCATAAAATTAAATCGGTGTAGCCTAATGTTCTGTAAAAAGTTTTAATTTGCAGACTGATATGGAGTATTCCACAAAATATGTGTACATTTGTTGAATGATGTCATTAATTATGCAAATTGTATGCAAATGCATGAAACAGGTCATCAAAACAATTACATTTTCTCATTTTGGGGGTATTTTGGACTCATGTTTTCTATAAGAGATAAAATGTAAAAATTTGTACACAATAAAAATAACTGAATGGCGACTGAGAAAAGTACAAAAAGTAAGTTTTGTCTCATCCTTAAAATGTTGACATGACACATCATGCATATGCATGAGAACAAGACTTAAAACATGTCACACCCCGTACAAGATGAAATAAGTTGTGTTCAATTTATACATTCATCTTGACAGTATTGAAAGTACAAAATATCTGCAATATATTAGAAATTATGTTTTGCATTTTTAACAACTTTGAACAAAATTGCAAATATCAGGAAAAAGATCATTTTCACTCCCACTTTTGACAAAGAATGATCCTATTTTGCCCAAAAAACAGCCAGACTCCAGACTATAAGCCCCCTTTCAAACAACAATGTGACTCACAATAATGTAAAGTCAGCTCTTGCATATGAATAAAACCATCATGTGACTAACTCACCTCATATGTAAGTATAAAACCATTACGTGACTAACTCACCTCATGCATATGTATGAGTCTCATGTGACTAACTCACCTCATGCATATGTATAAAACCATCATGTGCCTAACTCACCTCATGCATATGTATAAAACCATCATGTGACTAACTCACTTTATACATATGTATAAAACCATCATGTGACTAACTCACTTTATGCATATGTATAAAACTATAGTGTCTAACTCACCTGTGACCTCATGCATATGTAAACAAACCATGTGACTAACTCAACTCATGCATATGTATAAAACCATGTGACCAACTCACTTTATGCATATGTATAAAACCATCATATGACTAACTCATCTCATGCATATGATAAAACCATCATGTGATTAACTCACCTCATGTGTATGTATAACTATAGCATTGGGATTCTTGATGTGTTCAGATGCGCTGTGTGGTCTCAAACCACCAAATGCATACCCAACCAGGTGTTCTTCATCTAAACCAATCACTGAAAACCAAGCACAATTTACATAACAAGGTTGGCCAATAAAGATGGATAAAATATCACTCGCAAAATGAATGCAGTTTTATTGGTTCAATTTATTCTCATTTAGTGATGCAGGATGCTTTGCAGCAAGACCTCAGTTTAACCCTTACTATGTCATTGTATTCTTGCCAACAGAAGCATGTTCTGATAAGCAACGCAACAATGTTGTGTATAATTTGTTTGTATAAACAATGTTTTGTGTAACAGATCCAAACTTCAGAATTTGTATCTTCTCAGGTCTTGCACATTTTTTTAAAAATTTTCTTATATGAGTTTTTTCTTATTATTACTGTGTTTTTTCCTTTATTACTGTGTTTTTTCTTTTATTATTGTGTTTTTTCTTTCATTACTGTGTTTGTTCTTTTATTATACTGTTTTTTGTTTTGTTTTCATGGATTTTAATATTTATTTATCGTTCTACACACTGAAAAATTACTATGGAAGTGCTTGTTAAAAAAAGAATGGCCGTCAGTCAGCCATTTTGAATCGGATCTGAAAAACAAAATTATGTGCATCAAGGTCTCATATGTTCAATATGTATATGTACCAAGGTAGAATGAAATCCATCAATATACGTCCAAGATCCAGCTCTGGAATGGCAGAAATGCTTGATTTTTGATGAATTTTAGCATTAAAATAGTGGCCAATTATTTGTATTGTTATGTGTATGCTATCATAATTTTGTTCATTGTCTCAAAATAGAAATTGATGGGAAAATGATATTGAAAGAAATGAACAAATCTGTCCTTTATGTAATTATTCTACAAATGAAAAATGAATAGTATGTATAATTAAATGTATAGTCTGTTTTTTGAGGATCTTACATAATATAATAAATTCATGAAATGTTATGAGAACAGTTAACATTCATATATTAAAATCCATAGCAGCTTATCTGTATCATAGCTTAAAACTAAGATATGAAATTTTACTACCGGTAAATGTATTACTTCTTTGTTCACGTTATCTGTATTTTTGAACCAAAGACATTGGATGACAATGAAAACCAATATGAATGTACATTCAGAAAGCCAGTCAGACAGGTGTATATTCTGATATGTTGGCCAAAAAGTAGTGGAGTCCAGTGAAAATATACAACTCACTATCAAGTACATTCTCGTCATCAAAACCGTAATCTTTGAATATTTCTCCCTTGGACTTCTGTATTCTATCGAAAGTAATCCGAGTGTCGCTTGCTCTCTGCCATGAATGCGGCTGTCAGAAAATAACAAAAGATTGTAATTATATAATACATAACAATGCTACTAAATGCCGATCAGAACCAATTGTTTGGACAACAATGTGTTAACTGTATATTCTGTAAATTGAGCAACGTATCAAGAAATCAGAGCAAATAGAACTACTGTAAAATACTTTATTTTAGCTGGAGCTATATTATCTCTATATGAATGAAAACACAGGCATGAATGACTTACCAGATTTTTGAGTATTGCTTTGTTGTACTGCATCCAGTGTGACTCTCCTTCATGTGAAAGACCTTTCTTCAAACCTAACTTGAAATGACGAGCCGAGAACAGAGCCTAAATGTTAAAAACCAAAGTGATCAAAGGTTACTATCAGACAGAGTATCCCTCAATTGAATACTTAGTGACATCACATGGGACTCACATCATCTTTATTGGTATGTTCTTTAAAGTCTCCTGGAAGGTGATGCCATCTGATGCTGCCATCTTTCCCACTGAGGGCATACGTTGAGAAATGATTCACATGCGTATCTTTCTCCTATCAACAGAAAGAAAAATAAGGGATTTCATAAAATACAATGCAAAGTTCGACAGAGATTTGATGTTTTTTTATCGTTTTGTTTTTTCAAAATATATTTTGTGGCCAATTTGTTCGCAGGAATGATTTTCTACATCTCTGACATTCCTAGACCAAAAATGTTCAAACATTACACATACATACTTACATACATTGTTTCAATTCAAGAAAGCCAAATTGCTGCTAAAAAGCATCAAAATCAAATCAAGCATTTCTGCCATTCCAGAAACAGATTTTATGCATCAATGGACAGATTTCATTCATCCTGATACATAGAGCATCATGTGACCTTGATACACTACCATATTAAACTATATATAAGCTTTCAGGTGATGTCACAGAAGCACACTTAGTAACTTTTCGATTTCCAATTTGTTTTTTGCCTGTTATCGGTACTACCTAAAATCTTATTGCTATAGTTACCTTATCTTGGTACCTATCATCCCCCTCATCAGATTCATCCTCAATTGGTTTGATGTCCTGTATTCGCCTATGATGGTCGTGCCTATACAGTGGGGAAACATGAATTCATCACAAATAACACAACAGTAACTACAAAGTATATTATGAACATTAGAAATAATGATAATTATTTAATGATAATACATCATGTATTTGGACAAACTTTTTCAACTAAAGTAATTTATAAAACCAATAAAAATGAATGAATATTGAAGCCACAAAAATGCAGAATATTGCAGACAGATAAAGTTGCACTCTGAGAGCATTTACAGGTAATACTATGTGACATATTTGATGAACTTGTAAGAAATTTATAATAACATTCAAATTTAAACTTCACTTTTCTTTTATTTTTGGCTTTCCATAGGTATGTAATGGCAATCTTGAAATTCAACCTGAACTCGCTCATAGTCAACCAGATCTCCACCCTGAGCAAGCTCAGGTAGAAGCGGAAGATTGTCATAACATACCTGTATTTTATGTTTGAATTTCCGTTGCTAACGTTTTCCTGTTGTTCCAAAAGACCCTCATTCACAAATGTTCATTTCTGTTCTGAATTATTGCGGCCTTAGTAATTTAAAACAAGGCAAAATTCTTTGTTTTTTCAATGCACGCAATTCAGACTATCAAATATTTCACATCACAGTTCCAAGGCCACAAAAAAGCTATATATGGCAACTGGGAAGACAATTTTATTTTGATCAAAGATTATCATAACACTTGCATGTTTTTTTTATTTGGCTCAAGTTTTCTTTTTAACAACATGCTCTTTATGTTCAATTAATTTTTAACTTGCGTTAGTTTCTTTTCATGATGATGTCGGTCTCCAATACTGCCACCTATGATTATAAGTCCGCCATCTTTTTTCTTCAAATTATGGGATGTCACCAAAATGGCCGCTTCTCTGAAACAGAAGGGTATATTTGATTGTTGTTGGCCAGATGCAGATAATTGTACATTACATGTATATGAGACAAGTCATTGTTACGATATTTAGAGCAATTTCAACAAGGATTTTATATTATTATTTCACAAAACTACAAAATAGAAGTCAATTCAACACTATTTGCAATAGATTACTTTCTGCATCGCATAAAATCGTACTCAAATATAGTTTGATAACTGGGGATCTTATTGCATGATAGACTATATTGTAAATATTGATTCCACAGCAATTCGGAAAATAGGAGAAACTTTGTGAATGTACATGTACATTCAGCCATATGAAAATAATGGAAATTTGAGTAATAATATAGGTAATTACATACACGTATGTCTAGCAACTCACACAAAATCAAGTCAAGTTGCTTCAAGTCCCCAATAAAGCTAAACGAATAAGATCAGAGTGCAACTTTGAAATGAGAAAAGATGTCAACCAGAATCAACTTACTTTATAAAATATCTCTCATCCAAAATTGGTGATAATTTATTCTGCCAAAGTAATTGTAATTTATGATCATAACACATCACAGTCCAGTCACTGAGTAATGCTACCACTACCTGGAATGTAAAAATATGTAATATCAATTGTAATATTCATAGTGTACTCACTGAGGAGAGATTGGTGGTTTAATTTAATCAGATCACAATGGATGTATCAGTATTTGATATGAATGCATAGATGGGAAAACATGTGGAAAAGTATGTAATATTTGAACAGAATATACATGGATGGATGGGAAAACATGTGGGAATTACCGGGTACTTCATATTTGAACAGAATATGCATGGATGGATGGGAAAACATGTGGGAATTACCGGGTACTTCATATTTGAACAGAATAGGCATGGTTGGATGGGAAAACATGTGGGAATTACTGGGCACTTCATATTTGAACAGAATAGGCATGGTTGGATGGGAAAACATGTGGGAATTACCGGGTACTTCATATTTGAACAGAATATGCATGGATGGATGGGAAAACGTGTGGGAATTACTGGGTACTTCATATTTGAACAGAATATGCATGGATGGATGGGAAAACATGTGGGAATTACCGGGTACTTCATATTTGAACAGAATAGGCATGGTTGGATGGGAAAACATGTGGGAATTACCGGGTACTTCATATTTGAACAGAATATGCATGGATGGATGGGAAAACATGTGGGAATTACTGGGTACTTCATATTTGAACAGAATAGACATAGATAGATAGAAAAACATGTGGGAATTAATGGGTACTTCATATTTGAATGAAATATGCATGGATGGATGGGAAAATGTGAGAAAATATGTCATATTTGAACAGAATAGGCATGGATGGATGGGAAAAATATGTGGGAATTACCGGGTACTTCATATTTGAACGAAATATACATGGATGGATGGGAAAACATGTGGGAAGTATGTAATACTTGAACAGAATATACATGGATAGATAGAAAAGCATGTGGGAATTAACGGGTACTTCATATTTGAATGAAATATGCATGGATGGATGGGAAAACGTGGGAAAATATGTCATATTTGAACAGAATACCCGGTAGGCATGGATAGATGGGGAAAATGTGGGAATTACTTCATATTTAAACAGAATAGGCATGGATGGATGGGAAAACATGTGGGAATTACCGGGTACTTCATATTTGAACGAAATATACATGGATGGATGGGAAAAACATTTGGGAATTAATGGGTACTTCATATTTGAATGAAATATGCATGGATGGATGGGAAAATGTGAGAAAATATGTCATATTTGAACAGAATAGGCATGGATGGATGGGAAAAATATGTGGGAATTACCGGGTACTTCATAATTGAACGAAATATGCATGGATGGATGGGAAAACGTGGGAAATATGTCATATTTGAACAGAATACCCGGTAGAGGCATGGATAGATGGGAAAACGTGGGAATTACTTCATATTTGAACAGAATAGGCATGGATAGATGGATAAAACATGTGTGAATTACCGAGTACTTCATATTTGACTGGAATATGCATGGATGGATGGGAAAAGAGGGAAATATGTCATATTTGAACAGAATTTGCTTGAAGGTCAACAGCGACAACATCAATACAACTGGATAATGTTTACAAATAAATTGTAATATTTCTAAAAGAACTAAATTTAATAAAAATCACTGATCAAAATTAAAGAACACCTCAAATGCTAAATGTAGTAATAGCGCCACCAGTGTTGATCACAACATGCTCACCTGTTTTCTGACCTGCAGCATACTCTGGTATTCCATTAGGTAGCCTGTTGCTATAGCAACCGGATGTTTATTACTATCTAGTGTAACCTCATGCTTAGTTACCAAATATGGCAACACAGATGAACCAAACTTCTTGGTCGGAACAGTTGCTATTTTAATTTTTGGTTCTTTAGTTACAAAAATGACTTCTGTAATGAGAGGAATAAAAATTTGATGAAGCAGTTAATGTAAAAAAAAAATATGTTTAGATCATAACAAAAAAATTATTCCTGGTTTAGAATGATGCATTAATATGAAAGACATAAATGAGTAAAGCGCCACCTAGTGTTCATGTCATAACAAACTTAGGTCTCCAGAATGCAGCATTACTACAACACACCAAGAATACAGAGTTGAACACCATTATACAACTACCCACAATTATAATACTATCCACAGTGGTAGGCAGCTACAGTTTATAATCTAAGACCCACAATAAGGTAAGGCAATTATTCAGTAATAATAAAGTGATTAAAAATACGTTTGAGAGATTGCAGCTTTCCATTATCATTCTATTAAACATGGATGTGTCAGGGTAATGTTTTTCAGTATTTAATATCAAACTCACCATTAATTCCATCACTCTCGATATCACTTACGAATGGAAGAGGACTGAAAAAAAAGTTCAATGTTATTTTTGTGCATGCTGCTTCTGTGTTGCTATGTTACTGAGCAATTTGCATTTGTGAGGTGGTATGTGTTTTAATAAGTTGAGATGTGTACCTTTTGTCCTATAAAGATGTTTCTGAATGCCGCAAATTATAGATTTCCCGACTACAGTGTGTGTATGAATGAAAATTATGGGTTTCATGTTCAGCACAAATCAGAAGCTGGTATATTACAGCGGGTACAAACAAGATTTGTAAAGGGAGTTAGTAAACTCCTTAGGAAAGTCCTTACAAACTTTGCAATATAGCGAGGGACTTTCTTACCAGCGCTGTTAAATGATATGTTATGAAAACGATTTGCTACATTTTGTGACAATCTCACTTCCACTGGTGCCACTTGAGTTTGGACTAATTAATATTTGTCTAGATATGTACTATGGCAAGGTTGTCTGTTTTTTATTGCAACCTTGTTGCGACTATACAAGGGATGTAGTAAATTATCCATACAAATCTTATTTGCAGTCACTTCGACTGTCTGGGGGAATTTGACAAGGAGTTTCTCAGGGTAACTGCAAGATAGTACCGTATGAATCTTGTTTGTGTCCGCTGTATAACATCTCCCTGAAAACTGCAAATTCCTGAGCTTCAGCATGAATCTTTATTTGTCACATGATTAGATCATCATATGACCACCTATATATACCATAAAATGTGAATGACCTGAAGGAAACATGACAAGGGGAAAACATTTGTTCAAAAGTAACCTGATTGGTTGTTAACCAATAGCTCTGTGTTGGGGGTCAAACAGTTGGGTGATCACATGTTCTTATAATCCTGAACCCAACACAATATGTTTTACATGTATGCAGGGCTAGGTTAACCAGTTGTAGTTATTTTTATGCATCAAATGTTGAGTTGGTTTGACACTGCATGGTGACAGACAGCATGTTATTTTGACCCACCCATAAATTGGACGTGGCAGCTCAACAAACTATTCTGTATTATACATGTAATAGAAAATACTGTAACTTGGGAGGTGTAGGCAATCCTTTACAACTAAATTTGTTATATTTTTATCAAATATCATTTTATTTTTTCATATCCTTTCTCATTATTTAGTTTCATCGTATATTTATGACGACAAATTCCGACTTATCTTGAGCAATGAATCCCTGTCAATTCCATTAGGCCGATATTTATGAATCACCTCCTAGACAAAATTCTTGGATTTCTTGCCAATTTCATTTTTAATTGTTGCTTTTTCATGGTTTTGTTTTGTTTGTTTACTGAATCCATTATCATCCATTCCAATGGATGTTAAATGATTAAATAAATAAATATTAGAAGCACATCTCAAAATACACATATAAACTAAAAACTGGATTTTTGTATTACTGGATCATTAAATTATTACTTATTGTGAAACACCTCTGTACTTTGCTAACAGAGCAAATATGGTATAGTGAATTTCATAAAGGCATAAATGTTTTTCATGAAAATTTGTAAAATATTTATAAAACATGTACCTTGTACTTCAAAATACGCTGGCAATGCTCATTACCCATAGTTCTTTGCGTGTTTCCTTCAATCATTTAAAACAAATCATGCCTTCATGAAATTCACAATAGAGTTTTTTTCATATGTATTATGATCAAAAACTCACATTTTCTCCCACTCTTTGGCATATTCATTGTTTTCGTATAACGATGTGTCAATATCGGACCTCCATTTGGCTTGTAGGGAGTAACTTTCCCGTACACGGAGTAAATACACAGCGATGGCGCACACAGCGACCAGCCACAGATCTCGGATCGTTAGAGCGCCCAACCTTTTTCCGATCTGCTCCATGTTCTATATACACATGCCTCAACACACATACATCACAATACAATAGATTCTAGTTTCAAAGAAACAGCCATATAACAGTTCACGGCCCGAATCTTGAGGAATCGAACTCATTGCGAGTCAGCTATGATGGGATGTTGTGCCGTAAAAGGATAAGATATATTACTGCAGTTTCTGGATATTGTATTTCACGGGGTGAACATGTAACATGTATATTTAAAAGAGTTCAAGTTTGTAATTTATAAGTTTAAAATATCAGACAGTCAATGTATGCCGATTTAGAAGATAATGATCCGAGTTTTGGCAGTAAGCGCTAAGCAGTCTGCCACTTTACGGCGTCATAGTCAACTAGCAGCCGACGCCTGTTTGACGGGCTGGGGTTCAGGGGCGGGTCATTTAATAACTAGGAGGAGTTTTGAAGAATTAATTTGTTTTCACGCAAATGGCAACAAGGTTGCAGTCTTGTTTTATATCCTATAGTTAGTAGAGCATTTTTTCCTTCAGCTTCTTTTTTTCCCTCAAAATCCCCCAAACCCCACATATAGCGGCCAACCCATCATGACCCGACCGTAATTTATCATCATGACAGAATGATGATGTACGTGTACGTATCTCTTTAAAATAACAAGGGACCGATGATAACACTAGTATTATCAAGTGCACGTACCATTCTAGTTCTACCTCCGGTAGAAACATACCCGGTAGCCATTGTCCAGCACTGGGAATTCCCATAACTAAACTTCTCTTTCACGTCGACTTCTGATCAAAGAAAACGATACTTCTCGTTTTGCGGAACGCGGTGTGGGGGTGGATCACATTATCCCGTGGTATGTCACCCAAGTAGCAGTACACTTCTAACGCTCGAACATGACGTTTTCCTACTCGTTACAAATTTCCCATGCCAAGTTTTTCAGTTTCAGCCGCTTGTTGGTTATTTGGCGGGCCAGCATATACAAATTGATATGGCCGGAACTTCTCGTCTTTTTGTCTGTTTACTACGCACTGGCGATGATATATCGCCTCGGCCTCACGGAGGAGTACCAGAAAGAAATATTTGAAAGCGTAAGTACTGTTTCTCAAGTGTATTAATAAGGAACAAGGAAATTTTTAGTTTCTCAATGAGCAAGCGCTCTAGCCCTTAAGGGATGGGCCGTTTGAGTATAGGGAGGTGGATACCACATCTGATTTCAAAATGTTTTCCCAGGCAAATACTTTTTATGTGTGCTTTAGTACAGAATTAGCATAGCTATACTATTTGCACAACAAGTCCATTTCCTTCATTTTTTTAAAATATTTATCATAAATTTCAATGACAGTTCGAACCAACCAGCCATTCTAATGGAGTGTACAGTAACATCATTTGAAAATGTTCCTATGTTATCTTGTTTCAGTTTGAATTATGAAATTTAATAATTATATTATTAAAAATGCATGGAATGAATTTCAGATGGTCCATTCTTTAAATGGCAGGTAAATGGTTTGGTGCAAAATATTAACACAAACTTGTTTCTTGTTCTTATTTAATAAAAATTGCAGCATAATGATCTTAATAAATTCCTATAATCTGTTTTATTTGTCTTAGAGGCAGACCAGTAATAACTGAAAACAGAAAAACTGTGAAAAATAATCTTTTCCTTCACTCAGTTTTGCGCTAATGTTTTATTTTCATGAAGTATTTGGGGTAAATGTTTACTTTATGTAATATTTTTTCTCTGAGATTTAGGTGTCCTGAATCTTTTTCTTTGTTATG